CGCACACACCCACACACACACACACGCGCGCGCACACGCACACACGCACAGCACACACACGCGCACACACACACACCACACACACACACACCACACACACATACACCCACGCACGCCCGCCCGCCCGCCCGCACCCACGCACGCACGCGCACACACACAACCACACACACAATCACACACACACACAATCAGACACAATCACACAGAATGAGACAATCAGACACCCAATCACAAACAATCACAAACAATCACACACAAACACACACACACACACACAAACACACACACACACAACACACACACAGACACACACACACACAAACACACACAAACACACACACACAAACACACACACACAAACACACACGCACACACACACACACAAACAAAGACACACACACAAACCCACACACACACCCACACGAACACCTACACACAAACACACACACAAACACACACAAACACAAACACACACACACAAACACACACAAACTCACACAATCACACAAACACAAACACACACAGACAGACACAGACACACAGACACACACAGACACACACGGACACACACAGACACACAGACAAACACACACACAAACATTCAATCAGACAAGCAGACAAACAGACAAACAGACAAACAGACAAACAGACAAACAGACAAACAGACAAAGAGACAAAAAGGCAAACAGACAAACAGACAAACAGACAAACAGACACACAGACACACAGACACACAGACACACAGACAGACACACACACACACATTCCGAGCGGCCCTCAGAATTTGAGCCCGGGCGACAGCGGGAGATGTAGGTATGAGTGCTCAGGGCCTGCCTCACGCACGCTCCGGCGCGCAGAACTTGTACCTCGCCAACCGCGCCGCGAGCGATGTGAGAACTGCCGTAGTACCGATACCGAAGGCGACGTTAAGAAGACAAAGCGAGCGATCCACACCGGATTTCAGAGGCTTAGCCTGCAGCCGGGCGGCGGCACGCACCCAAAAGCTGTGTTTGTTCAATACCCGTTCCATACCCTTTCAACACCCCCCAAGTGCCATCGCAGGCACCGCCGCCACCACTCCTACCTACTGCTACGACTACTAGTACTACCACTACCGCTACAACTGCCACTGCCACTGTCATTGTCACTGTTACTGCTACTCCACTACCACTACCACTACTACGACTACTGAACAGAACGCCGTCCCTGGCGCGTTCCATAGCGGGGCTAAGACCCACACCCATATGAGCGCTCATATAATACGTTGCTGATTTTACTGGTAGTCAGGCGATCAGGGATTGGCAGGTCTAGGAAACAGTCAGGTGGGGCCAGAAGCTTATCCTGAAAAGTTTTCTTAGGATGCATTGCAATGCATCTCAATCGCGGGATTCCACAGATTCTCGCTTACGGCCGACCTTTGGCAAATTGGCCACTGCTTGATTTCTTCACGAGACAGCTGATTGTTTTCGCACTTTGCGCTTGCTCGGCTCGCTTCAATCATTTGCCTACTTTTGGTTTTTTCGCACTTGGCCTGACAACACGTAAGCGTAGTGGGCAAGAGGGCACTGATCAGATGCCCGAGAGACAAATGCAAGTGCGTGCTAAGTGTGCTAGTTATCCAAAATAGGACCCATATAGACCCCAAGAGAAGGCAGGAAATGCATTGCAATTGGATACAGTTCCACCATTGAAGTGGACAAGCTACTGATCCCCTCGTCCTTTGAGGGCGGTTCCTGCCCATTGTTGAGCATTGAAGAATTAATGTGACTCAAGCCACGCTGGCAATTTCTAGGCTCTGCATTATTGTATCTATATAGAACTGCATATCGATGTAATTATATATAAACACGCGTATGTATACATGTAATTACTTTAAAGGGCTCACCAAGGCTCATGCTCCACCGAATTCACCGATCCGACTCTTGGAAGCGCCCAGGCAGTCCAGCAGATGGGCTTCCGCTTCATGAGCCTCTCGGATGTGTTACAAAAGGTTGGGCTTGGGCACCCAGATGCAAAATTGCTTTTGGACAAACACAGCAATCAAAACTCTTCTCTAAATTGATGTTGGCGACTGCTGCATGATGAACCCGAGGAGGTCAGACGTTGCCACCATCCAGTTTAGCGCTGGTTGTGATGGCAGGTGGTGACTAATCACCAGTTGGAGATCTTGAGATGGCAGTTGTTGGTCGCGTTTGCCCATGGCTTATCGCCGTGTCACTGTGACGAGCAGAGTAATACACCAGCTACTTTGCTGATGTTGCTATTGCAAGGGCAAAACTGGTGTTTTGGGGAAGGCGTAGTTGGAGAGCTGAAAGCGCTGGTGGTCTCTCACCGGCAGATTCTCAACTTGGGCTGGAGGCCATTTCGGCTCCGTGGCTGCTGTGGTAAGCCTGATTAGAGTCAACGAAGTTCTTGGCATGCTGCTCCGATTGTTGTACTGATCGGTGTGGCGACTGCTGCATGATGAACCCGAGGAGGTCAGACGTTGCCACCATCCAGTTTAGCGCTGGTTGTGATGGCAGGTGGTGACTAATCACCAGTTGGAGATCTTGAGATGGCAGTTGTTGGTCGCGTTTGCCCATGGCTTATCGCCGTGTCACTGTGACGAGCAGAGTAATACACCAGCTACGTTGCTGATGTTGCTATTGCAAGGGCAAAACTGGTGTTTTGGGGAAGGCGTAGTTGGAGAGCTGAAAGCGCTGGTGGTCTCTCACCGGCAGATTCTCAACTTGGGCTGGAGGCCATTTCGGCTCCGTGGCTGCTGTGGTAAGCCTGATTAGAGTCAACGAAGTTCTTGGCATGCTGCTCCGATTGTTGTACTGATCGGTGTGGCGACTGCTGCATGATGAACCCGAGGAGGTCAGACGTTGCCACCATCCAGTTTAGCGCTGGTTGTGATGGCAGGTGGTGACTAATCACCAGTTGGAGATCTTGAGCTGGCAGTTGTTGGTCGCGTTTGCCCATGGCTTATCGCCGTGTCACTGTGACGAGCAGAGTAATACACCAGCTACTTTGCTGATGTTGCTATTGCAAGGGCAAAACTGGTGTTTTGGGGAAGGCGTAGTTGGAGAGCTGAAAGCGCTGTCACTGTGACGTCACCAGCTACTTTGCTGATGTTGCTATTGCAAGGGCAGGTGTTTTGGGGAAGGCGTAGTTGGAGAGCTGAAAGCACCGGCAGATTCTCAACTTGGGCTGGAGGCCATTTCGGCTCCGTGGCTGCTGTGGTAAGCCTGATTAGAGTCAACGAAGTTCTTGGCATGCTGCTCCGATTGTTGTACTGATCGGTGTGGCGACTGCTGCATGATGAACCCGAGGAGGTCAGACGTTGCCACCATCCAGTTTAGCGCTGGTTGTGATGGCAGGTGGTGACTAATCACCAGTTGGAGATCTTGAGAAGCAGAGCAATACACCAGCTACTTAGCTGATTTTTCTACTGCAAGGGCAAAACTGGTGTTGGGGAAGGCGCAGTTGGAGAGCTGAAAGCGCTGCCATTTCGGCTGCGTGGCTTGTGGCAGCTGCGGCAAGCCTCATTAGAGTCAACGAAGTTCTTGGCATGCTGTTCCGATTGTTGTACTGATCGGTGTGGCGACTGCTGCATGATGATCCCGAGGAGGTCAGACGTTGCCGCCATCCAGTTTAGTGCTGGTTGTGATGGCAGGTGGTGACTAATCACCAGTTGGAGATCTTGAGACGGCAGTTGTTGGTCGCGTTTGCAGGTGGCTTATCGCCGTGTCACTGTGACGAGCAGAGCAATACACCAGCTACTTAGCTGATTTTGCTACTGCAAGGGCAAAACTGGTGTTGGGGAAGGCGCAGTTGGAGAGCTGAAAGCGCTGCCATTTCGGCTGCGTGGCTTGTGGCAGCTGCGGCAAGCCTCATTAGAGTCAACGAAGTTCTTGGCATGCTGTTCCGATTGTTGTAGTGATCGGTGTGGCGACTGCTGCATGATGAACCCGAGGAGGTCAGACGTTGCCACCATCCAGTTTAGTGCTGGTTGTGATGGCAGGTGGTGACTAATCACCAGTTGGAGATCTTGAGACGGCAGTTGTTGGTCGCGTTTGCCCGTGGCTTATCGCCGTGTCACTGTGACGAGCAGAGCAATACACCAGCTACTTAGCTGATTTTGCGACTGCAAGGGCAAAACTGGTGTTTTGGGGAAGGCGCAGTTGGAGAGCTGAAAGCGCTGCCATTTCGGCTGCGTGGCTTGTGGCAGCTACGGCAAGCCTCATTAGAGTCAACAAAGTTCTTGGCATGCTGTTCCGATTGTTGTACTGATCGGTGTGGCGACTGCTGCATGATGAACCCGAGGAGGTCAGACGTTGCCACCATCCAGTTTAGTGCTGCTTGTGATGGCAGGTGGTGACTAATCACCAGTTGGAGATCTTGAGACGGCAGTTGTTGGTCACGTTTGCCCGTGGCTTATCGCCGTGTCACTGTCACCAGCAGAGCAATGTTGGGAAGCGTAGTTGGAGAGCTGAAAGCGCTGTAAAGAAGCGGTGGATTCTCACAGGCAGATTCTCAACTTGGGCTGGAGGCCATTTCGGCTCCGTGGCTGCTGTGGTAAGCCTGATTAGAGTCAACGAAGTTCTTGGCATGCTGCTCCGATTGTTGTACTGATCGGTGTGGCGACTGCTGCATGATGAACCCGAGGAGGTCAGACGTTGCCACTATCCAGTTTAGTGCTGATTGTGATGGCAAGTGGTGACTAATCACCAGTTGGAGATCTTGAGACGGCAGTTGTTGGTCACGTTTGCCCATGGCTTATCGCCGTGTCACTGTGACGAGCAGAGCAATACACCAGCTACTTAGCTGATTTTGCTACTGCAAGGGCAAAACTGGTGTTTTGGGGAAGGCGCAGTTGGAGAGCTGAAAGCGCTGCCATTTCAGCTGCGTGGCTTGTGGCAGCTGCGGCAAGACTCATTAGAGTCAACGAAGTTCTTGGCATGCTGTTCCGATTGTTGTACTGATCGGTGTGGCGACTGCTGCATGATGAACCCGAGGAGGTCAGACGTTGCCACCATCCAGTTTAGTGCTGGTTGTGATGGCAAGTGGTGACTAATCACCAGTTGGAGATCTTGAGAAGGCAGTTGTTGGTCACGTTTGCCCATGGCTTGTCGCCGTGTCACTGTGACTAGCAGAGCAATATTGGGAAGCGTAGTTGGAGAGCTGAAAGCGCTGTAAAGAAGCAGTGGATTCTCACAGGCAGATTCTCAACTTGGGCTGGAGGCCATTTCGGCTCCGTGGCTGCTGTGGTAAGCCTGATTAGAGTCAACGAAGTTCTTGGCATGCTGCTCCGATTGTTGTACTGATCGGTGTGGCGACTGCTGCATGATGAACCCGAGGAGGTCAGACGTTGCCACCATCCAGTTTAGTGCTGGTTGTGATGGCAGGTGGTGACAAATCACCAGTTGGAGATCTTGAGACGGCAGTTGTTGGTCACGTTTGCCCATGGCTTATCGCCGTGTCACTGTGACGAGCAGAGCAACACACCAGCTACTTTGCTGATGTTGCTACTGCAAGGGCAAAACTGGTGTTGGGGAAGGCGTAGTTGGAGAGCTGAAAGCGCTGTAAAGAAGCAGTGGATTCTCACCGGCAGATTCTCAACTTGGGCTGGAGGCCATTTCGGCTGCGTGGCTTGTGGCAGCTGCGGCAAGCCTCATTAGAGTCACCGAAGTTCTTGGCATGCTGTTCCGATTGTTGTACTGATCGGTGTGGCGACTGGTGCATGATGAACCCGAGGAGGTCAGACGTTGCCACCATCCAGTTTAGTGCTGGTTGTGATGGCAAGTGGTGACTAATCACCAGTTGGAGATCTTGAGACGGCAGGTGTTGGTCGCGTTTGCCCATGGCTTATTGTCATGACACTGTTACTAGCAAAGCAATATGCCAGCTACTTTGCTGCATCAAGGACATAACTGGCGTTGGGAAAGACGTAGGCGAAATCGGTGTAAAGAAGCAGTGGATGCTTTCCGGCTGTTCAGATTCTCAACTTGGTCAGGAAGGAACCCATTTACGATGCGCGTTTTGCAGCAGCTATGGCGGCAAGCCGGACTAGAGGCAACACAATCCTTGGTGAAGCGTGCTGTGTCGATTGTTGTACTGATCGGTGTGGTGACTGCTGCATGATGAACCCGAGGAGGTCAGACGTTGCCACCATCCAGTTTAGTGCTGGTTGTGATGGCAAGTGGTGACTAATCACCAGTTGGAGATCTTGAGACGGCAGGTGTTGGTCGCGTTTGCCCATGGCTTATTGTCATGACACTGTTACGAGCACAGCAATATGACAGCTAATTTGCTGCATCAAGGGCCTAACTGGCGTTGGGGAAGACCGTAGTTGGAGATGCGAAGCCGGTGTAAAAAAGCAGTGGATGCTTTCCGGCAGTTCAGATTCTCAACTTGGTCAGGAACCTATTTTCGATGTGTGGCTTGCAGCAGTTATGGCAAGCCGGACTAGAGGCAACAAAATTATCGGTGAAGCGTGCTGTGTCGATTGTTTCCTGACCGGTGTGGCGACTGCTGCATGATGAACCCGAGGAGGTCAGACGTTGCCACCATCCAGCTTAGCGCTGGTTGTGATGGCAGGTGGTGACTAATCACCAGTTGGAGATCTTGAGATGGCAGTTGTTGGTCGCGTTTGCCCATGGCTTATCGCCGTGTCACTGTGACGAGCAGAGTAATACACCAGCTACTTTGCTGATGTTGCTATTGCAAGGGCAAAACTGGTGTTTTGGGGAAGGCGTAGTTGGAGAGCTGAAAGCGCTGGTGGTCTCTCACCGGCAGATTCTCAACTTGGGCTGGAGGCCATTTCGGCTCCGTGGCTTGTGGCAGCTGCGGTAAGCCTGATTAGAGTCAACAAAGTTCTTGGCATGCTGATCTGATCGTTGTACTGATCGGTGTGGCGACTGCTGCATGATGAACCCGAGGAGGTCAGACGTTGCCACCATCCAGTTTAGTGCTGGTTGTGATGGCAGGTGGTGACTAATCACCAGTTGGAGATCTTGAGACGGCAGTTGTTGGTCACGTTTGCCCATGGCTTATCGCCGTGTCACTGTGACGAGCAGAGCAACACACCAGCTACTTTGCTGATGTTGCTACTGCAAGGGCAAAACTGGTGTTGGGGAAGGCGTAGTTGGAGAGCTGAAAGCGCTGCCATTTCGGCTGCGTGGCTTGTGGCAGCTGCGGCAAGCCTCATTAGAGTCACCGAAGTTCTTGGCATGCTGTTCCGATTGTTGTACTGATCGGTGTGGCGACTGCTGCATGATGAACCCGAGGAGGTCAGACGTTGACACCATCCAGTTTAGTGCTGGTTGTGATGGCAAGTGGTGACTAATCACCAGTTGGAGATCTTGAGAAGGCAGTTGTTGGTCACGTTTGCCCATGGCTTGTCGCCGTGTCACTGTGACCAGCAGAGCAATATTGGGAAAGGCGTAGTTGGAGAGCTGAAAGCGCTGTAAAGAAGCAGTGCATTCTCACAGGCAGATTCTCAATTTGGGCTGGAGGCCATTTCGGCTCCGTGGCTGCTGTGGGAAGCCTCAGTAGAGTCACCGAAGTTCTTGGCATGCTGCTCCGATTGTCGTACTGATCGGTGTGGCGACTGCTGCATGATGAACCCGAGGAGGTCAGACGTTGCCACCATCCAGTTTAGTGCTGGTTGTGATGGCAAGTGGTGACTAATCACCAGTTGGAGATCTTGAGAAGGCAGTTGTTGGTCACGTTTGCCCATGGCTTATCGTCATGACACTGTTACGAGCAGAGCAATATCCCAGCTAGTTTGCTGCATCAAGGGCCTACCTGTAGTTGGAGAGGCGAAGCCGGTGTAAAAAGCAGTAGATGCTTTCCGGCAGTTTAGATTCTCAACTTGGTCAGGAACCATTTACGCTGCGTGGCTGCTGTGGCAAGCCAGGCAACACAATTGTTTCTTGGCGTGCTGCTGTCGATTGTCGTACTGATCGGTGTGGCGACTGCTGCATGATGAACCCGAGGAGGTCAGACGTTGCCACCATCCAGTTTAGTGCTGGTTGTGATGGCAAGTGGTGACTAATCACCAGTTGGAGATCTTGAGACGGCAGGTGTTGGTCACGTTTGCCCATGGCTTATCGTCATGATACTGTTGCGAGCAGAGCAATCTGCCAGCTACTTTGCTGCATCAAGGGCCTACCTGGCGTTGGGGAAGACCGTAGTTGGAGAGGCGAAGCCGGTGTCAAAAAGCAGTAGATGCTTTCCGGCAGTTCAGATTCTCAACTTGGTCAGGAACCCATTTACGATGCGTGGCTTGCAGCAGTTATGGCAACCAGGACTATTGGCAACACAATTCTTGGTGAAGCGTGCTGTGTCGATTGTTGTACTGATCGGTGTGGCGACTGCTGCATGAAGAACCCGAGGAGGTCAGACGTTGCCACCATCCAGTTTAGTGCTGGTTGTGATGGCAAGTGGTGACTAATCACCAGTTGGAGATCTTGAGACGGCAGGTGTTGGTCACGTTTGCCCATGGCTTATCGCCGTGTCACTGTGATGAACAGAGCAATATGCCAGCTACTTTGCTGCATCAAGGGCATAACAGGCGTTGGGGAAGACGTAGTTGGAGAGGCGAAGCCGGTGTAAAAAAGCAGTGGATATTTTTTGGCAATTCAGATTCTCAACTTGGTCAGGACCCCATTTACGATGCGTGGCTTGCAACAGTTATGGCAAGCCGGACTAGAAGCAACAACATTATTGGTGAAGCGTGCTGCGTCGATTGTTGTACTGATCGGTGTGGGGACTGCTGCATGATGAACCCGAGCAGCTCAGACGTTGCCACCATCCAAGTTTAGTGCTGGTTGTTAAGGCAAGTGGTGACTAATCACCAGTTGTAGTTGTTGAGACGGAAGGTGTTGGTCGCGTTTGCCCATGTCTTATCGTCATCATGATACTGTTACGAGCAGAGCAATATGCCAGCTACTTTGCTCTGCAAAGTGCATAGTTGGTGCTGGGGAAGACGTAGTTGGGGAGCTCAAAGCGCTCATGCTTTCTGGCAGTTGAGATTCTTAACTTGGACAGGAGGCCATTTACGACTCGTGGCTTATGGCAGCTATGGCAAGCCTGATAAGAGTGAACGAAGTTCTTGGTGAAGGGTGCTGTGCCGACTGTTTGTACTGATTGGTGTGGCGACTGCTGCAGGATGAACCCGAGGAGGTCAGACGTTGCCACCATCCAGCTTAGTTCTGGTTGCGATGGCAGGTGGTGACTAATCACCAGTTGGAGATCTTGAGACGGCAGATGTTTCTTGTCATGATTTGGTTTGATGTCTTCGAATGCCATGGACATGTCCTGCCATTGTGCACTGTGGGAAGTGTTTTGGGTTTGTGTTCATTGTTATTGCTGCAGAGATTCCACTCTACTGTGTCACTCTTGAATGATGTGGCAATGTGGTCACGCCTTGTGTAGCTGCTAGCTTTTGTTCAGCATGGTGATGCCTTTGGTTTGTCAACAAGCTGACCCATAGCTGCGAGTAGATTGCAAGCCAATAACAAGATTGGATTGGATGCTCAATCTGATATCATACTATGTCTTAAAGTGGCCCTTTTGCCGTCTCAAATGACTACTTTGACTACTGACTGCTAGCAAGCGCTGTTTCAAACGGTGTCGCCAGAAGACTCCTAGTATGCTTGTAGCAATGCATCGACATCATAGGTGAGTGGAGCGGCCAAAACTTGGCAGTCTTGTTGAAGAGCGCTTGGAAACACGCCAGCCGGGGAGCTTCAGCGCAACCCGAGGTTTTATAGTGGCAGAGATCCAACACCTGAAGAGCGGGTGCAGCTGGACATCAAGACGCCTGAGCAAGTTGAGGCGGCCGTTCACGCACAGGAAGTCGGACAATTGGAGAGCCACGCGAGCTTTCAAGCCGTCTAAGATGTTTGATTGATTTTGCCACAATGAAGCAAGGAACACCTGCTCTAACGTGCTCCTTGAACGGACATGTTTGTTTTGTATGGGAACTGGGAACCAAACATGTTCCATCAAGCATGTTTCTCAGCGCAGGCTAGGCTGTGCTCATCATACTGGGTTGGCTTGGCTTCAATATATTGTCCAGCCGTTTATACTGCAGCGTGGTGTCCATATTGTGTGTGTGTGTGTTTGTGCTGAGTGTGATTGCGTGGTTGTTTGCTTGTATGAATATGTGTTTTTGCCGAGACAGTTTCTGTGTTTATGTCCTTTCCTTTGCGTGCTTGATTGCGTGTGTGCGTGCCTGTTTTTTTTTAGAGAGGGTTGTAACCACGACAAAGAACCTGTTACAACGACAAAGGTCATTGTTACAACGACAAGTTTCAGTGAAGACTATCCCGACAAGGCTTCTACTACTATTACTACTACTACTACTACTACTACTACTACTATTACTACTATTACTACTACTACTATTACTACTATTACTACTACTACTATTACTACTATTACTACTACTACTATTACTACTACTACTATTACTACTATTACTACTACTACTATTACTACTAAACCATGAGCAGCCGAACTAAGATACAGGACAGGACAAAGTAGGATACCAGAATTTGGTGTTACCCCTGTAAACTGTGGTTATGGTACAGGCCTCAGAACTCACCAACTCTGCCCAGGCACCTGGGTTAAAGGCAGTTGGTTTCTCTCCTTGGTGGAGGGGGGGGGGGCGGGGGCAGGACAGAACCTAAATTCCCTCTACCGCAGTGCTTGCATTTATAGTTCATGCTTTAGTAGTTTTAAGAATCACATGGAGTCACAGGTTTTGACAGCCATTAGTCTGGGCGAGTTTGTTTTGCAGTTGGTGCCTGGTCATGAGGGTCTTCAGGAATGCAGGAAGTGCAGGAACGCGGGGGGTGGTCAAACAAACCAAGTTTGTAGATGGCACTGAAAAGTGCCTAATGCACTGCAAAGTGCAAGCTTTTTTCCAGGTCCCTGGCCTCCGGGACCTTGGCATTTGTTGGGAGGGATGGTGCCTTGATCCCTGGCCTCCGGGACCTTGGCATTTCTTTTTGGCACTGAAGTTTGATGATAACAGTTGTTAAACATAACTTAGTGGCACTGAAAAGTGCCTAATGCACTGCAAAGTGCAAGCTTTTTTCCAGGCCCCTGGCCTCCGGGACCTTGGCACTTTTTGTGCAGGGAGGGAGGGCACCTTGGCACTTCTTTTTGAGGGGGAGGGGACAAGGGAGGGGTGGCCACACATCAAGCTCGCCCCGGAGGCCAGGGGCCCAGTTTCACATGATGGACTGACAGCCATGGTGCCTGCGTGCATGTCACCCAGCTGTTCTAAATTGCTGTTAGTTGCATTTGGGGGTTAGCTGTGTTGCATGCATGCTATTCACATTACTCAGCCAGGCCTTCAGGCATGTTCCAGGAAGCAATGCAACAAATAACCAGAAGCCATTGAAATGTTACTAGCCACCAACTTGACACATGCAATAGCCACTGCTCAGGTACACTGAGGAATGATGACTGCTCAGTCGCATCACCATGCAGGCGCGGTTGTCTCATTTTGGCACTGAAAAGTGCCTAAAGCACTGAAAAGTGCAAGTTCTTAAACCAAACATGTTTCAATCTTAGCGGCACTGAAAAGTGCCTAATGCACTGCAAAGTGCAACCTTGCTTCCAGGTCCCTGGCCTCCGGGACCTTGGCACTTTTTGGGGGAGGGGGAGGGAGGTGCCTGGGAGGGAAGGGCTGGGCCGTGACCATGAAGCACACCCCGGAGGCCAGGGGCCCAGCTTCAGACGCATGGCGCACACATGCATGTTATGCAACATTAAATCAGCTTGCATCCCATTTAGGTTACCCGCCCAGCCCTTTAGGCATGTTTCAAGAGCCAGCGCAACATACTACAATTTTAAATGTGACTGCTTCCCAAGGGTTGTTGGCAACCAAATTGAGACACGCAGGAGTCACTCCAGGGGTGTTTTTCCTTTTGGGGCTGAACAGTGCAGTGTCTAAAGCAGTGAATCATACTCAAAGTTGAGGCTGCCTAGCAAAATGCACTTCTCGCTTCCAGGTCCCTGGCCTCCGGGACCATGGCACTCTTGTTTGGGTGGTGTCTTGGTCCCTGGCCATTTCCTTTTGGGGGGAAAGTGTCAGCGGGCAATGACCTGCGCATCAAGCTGGCCCCGGAGCCCAGGGGCGGGCCTTTCAGATGCACTCACAGCCATGGTCAAGCATGCTTCTAGATTTGGTTGTTGCAAGCCATCCGCATGACCTGACACATGTTCCAACAACCAGTGCGACAAACAGTAGGTTGAAACATGACTGACCATTCCTGAAGCTGCATTGAACAACAGCCACTTATCAGGCGCATTGGGGCAAAGGGCTCGTTCGCATCGTCCAGGCATGGTTCTCCTTTCAATGCTGAAAAATTTTAAAGCACTGAGACTGATTGAAGGCTGACACAGTTGAAGTTGTTAATCTGTCTTTCTTCTTGGTGGCAACCTTGCTTCCAGGTCCCTGGCATCCGGGACCTTGGCATCTCTTTTTCTTTGGGGGGTGGGGGGGGGGGGGGCTGGGAGGAAGAGGCTGTGACCGTCATCAGTTGGAGGCCAGGGCCTAAGTGTGGAAACATCTTTGCCATCGCACACTGCACTACGCACTTAGGGCTCTGCAAGGCCACTGCCACGCATCAACCTCAGGGCAGGTTTCATCAGGGCTGCACATCGGCACAATGAACATGTTGCATGCAAACTCTCTCTTCCTTGCTCAGCAAATCAAAGCACTTTTCTCCACGCCAGGCACATCAAGATCTTCAATGGCATCTCCACCTGCCTGCGCAGGGCTTACACAGAGGGTCACTAGCAAACAAACACCTTGCACAGTTGCAATGCACAAAGTCAGGGTTGTGGGGCCCCTGCCTGGCAGCTTACTTTGTCCTCAGTTTGGCTGCTGCTCTGGTCTTTGGTTTGGGCTCAGCCTTTGGATTTGCCCGTTTCTTGGTGCTCACTTTGGCCACTGCTTTGGCCTTCAGCTTTGGCATTGCTTTGGGTGTTGCTTTTAGGAGCATTACTGCTGGCTTGGGTGGCTCATTGGACTCTGAGTCTGAGCTTGTGTCTGAGCTTGAGCTTGAGCTTGAGCTGGAGCTTGTCTGAGCCTTTGCTTTGGGCTGCGCTTTTGGCTGCAACTTTGGCTGGCTTGGTCCTGCGCAACTGCAATCAAACAACCAAGGCTCACTGTGAAGACACGCTGGTGTCAGGCCATACCAAGCCCTATTGCGCAGTGTGTGATGTCCTGGTGCTTCATCCCTGCAAGCCTGCAGGCCTGCTGGCTCCTCATGGTAGATGATCTCGTTCAGTGCCTCAGCCTCAGTGACACAAAACATGTCTCAGATGTAGCTGGGCACTTGTCAATCACACTGGTGGCAGCTGAGCACCCCAGCCACATCCAAGGAGGCTTGCACATCCTCCAGCTTGTCCGCAGTGTCAGCCAGCGTTTCCCTTACTTTGGAGAGCTCTTTGTCAAGGTTCTTGTTCTGCCTGCGAAGCTGCCGCTTTTTATAGGCATTGTCATGTTTGTGCGGCATGGCATCTGAACCCCTGCTCTGTAGGCCTGAAGGCCTGCAGGCCTGATGCATGCTACTCAGTGCTTGGACTTGGATATGGAGATGTGCAGTCAGGCTTGCATTGTCTGGCTGTAGCAAGACCATCTTGAGCCACAATCTGCCAGAGTCTGCAAGCTCCATGGCCAGTGGCCCTGCGTTGCTGAGGTTGTGGCTCTGCTGCAGTCCATCGTGGCCACTGTCTGTCATTGCCTGAGCTTGCACGCTTACATTGACAGCCTTGCAAGTGTGAGTCCAAGCCTGAGTCATGCTCATTACTTGCAGGCACCTGTTTGCCACAGCTGTATACTGCCCTCAAACCCACACACAAGACAATTCATTGTAATGTGTGAACACTACTTTCCAAGGATGGGAAAAGGAACCCTCTGAGTACTAAGTTGATTGAGCAGACACAGCAAGCAGGGGGTGCAACAGTGCAACAGCCATGGGCCATGCCTCCTCGTCGCAAACGCTCAGCTGGCGATATCCTTCGGGCACCTTGGATCTGAAGTTGCCTTTGTGTCCTCAACTATTGGCAGAAGTTTTTGCTTGCTTGTTCGGTCTCATGATGGCGGCTGACGATGAAACTCGGAAGGGGAACAAGAACATCTACGGTGTCTTCTGCAATGATGTGTCTTAGCTTGACTGCCAACAGTAACTTGCTCTTAGCCTCGTCAGCTCAGCTGTGGGTTTGACATGTTCACTATCATGAGGAGTGTGTTCCTCGAAAAGCTCAAAAAGTTGCAGCTTGGCTGTGAATAGTCTCCAGCAGGGCTGGGGGGCTGATGCTTCTTCATGTGCCCTTTTGTTCCCCCTCTCTCTCTCCTTCATACCTTCTTTCTCTTGCCAACCTGGCTCAGTGTCAGGTGGGTGCTGAAGCAGCAGAGTCTGGTCCTTCATCAAGCACTGAGCTGGCACATGAAAGCCAGGAATTGGCTGGGCTGCTCACCCCTACAGGCCAACAAGCAACTGAGCAAGCGCAGGCCTGCAGGCCTGAGAAGGAGCAGGCCACTGAGCAAGCGCAGGCCCAGCAATCAGCCGAGCTGCCCAGCCCTGCAGGCCAACAAGCAACCCAGCAAGTGCAGGCCTGCAGGCCTGAAAAGGAGCAAGACAAACAGGCAACTGAGCAAGCAAAGGCCCAGCAAGTAGCTACTGAGGAGATGCAGGCCAGCACGCCAACAAAGCAAGCCAGCCCTGCTGTGGTGGTGGTTGAGGACGAGGAGGAGGAGGAGAAAGCAAGCATGCAGAAACGCCTTCTTGTGCCACAAAGCTGCTTCTTGTGCC